GGACTTGAATTTAGAATATATAAAAAACTCTTGAAGCTCAATTATAAGAAAATAAATAACAGTTTTATAAAAAAATGGGCTACAGATTTGAATTGATACTTCACTAAAGAATATTTTGAATAGCAAATAAGATGATTTTTTATGAACGTTGATGATGATTTTTTAATTTACATTGATTTATGAATGGCACATTAGAAGATGACTGACATAATTAGTCACTAGGGCGATATGAATTAAAATCACAATGAGTTTCCACCACACACACTTGTTGAAATGGCTATAATAAAAATATAGACAATTCTAAGTGTTGGTAATCATCTGTAATTCTCCTCATTGCTGATAAGAATGTAAAATGTGTTAGGCCTGGTGGCGCATGCCTGTAATTCTAACGGCTTGGGAGGCTGAGGCAGGAGGATCTCAAGTTCAAAGCCAACCTCAGCAATGGTGAGGCAGTAAGCAACTCAGAGAGACCCTGTCTCTAAATAAAATACAAAATAGAAATGTGGCTCAGTGGTTGAGGACCCCTGAGTTCAACCCCTGGTGCCAAAAAAAGAAAAAGGGAATGTAAAATGTCACAACTACCCAGTTTGATCTTTTAAAAAAGTCGTACATAAACTTATAATAATTAAAAAATTCTACTCTTAAAAATCTACCCCCAAAATGTAAATTTATGTCCACTCAAATATAGGTACATTAATGTTCATAACAGCATTACTCATAAACCAAACCAAATATCTACAAAATGGAGAATGGTTAAAAAATATGGTTATGTCTTCTCAGTGGACTACTTTTCAGCACTAAAATGAATGAACTACTGATATATGCTACAACATGGATAAACCTCAAAAATACAATGCTACATGAAAGATGCAAGATGTAAAATATGATAATATATTATATAATTCCATTTATATTAAATGTTCAGAAATATAAAATTAAATGTTCAGAAAGCAGAATATAGTTACCCAAGACTGGGAGTAGAAGTGGAGATTATCAAGAAAACTTACTGGTATGACTGAAATATTCTAACACCAGTTGTAGAGATAATTGCGGAACTCTATACACTTGCTAAAAATCATAAAATTGCACCCTTACAAGAGGTATATAAATTATACCACAATAAAGCTATTAAAACTATAACAACAAAAAGATCTTTCCCTTGATATTTTTATCCTAAATATTAGATCATAGTTTCAGTGCATATTCAAAGTAGCTTTGATGGGATAAAAAGAGGCTACTTTTGAGTAATAAAAATAAAATGCCATTTTTGGACGATATAATTAGTAGTAACAGATATGACCATGGTGATTAATGGTTCAAACACTAAAAATTCAAAATCTTGCTTCCTGCCTSTCCTCCCTAGATCTGCATTTTGGCATGGTTAGCCTTCCCAGTTGTAATTATCTTCCTTATAAATTGGAATGAGGATTAACTAATTATAGTTGTGCCTTCAGATATAAACCATATTGAATGCCCTGGTAACTCAGAATTGTCTAGAAAGGTTTAACATCTCTGATATCTGCTTTGAGGCCCAGAACAAGGGAATTGAACCAACCCACAGAACTTCTTCAATCTACTTTGCTGGCATAGGTGGACCTTGAACATCCATTCAATTTACTTTCTTAAGATGGATAAGGTGAATCTCTTTCCCAAAAGTAGATTGGATTTCCGTGTGCCCGTGAAAGGGCCAGGACATGGTGTTAGAATCTAGGAGTTTGAAACTTGGCCCTGATATGAACTACTCATGAGGACTTAGCAAAGTGACTTTTTAGCCTTATTTACTCCCTGGGACAATTCTTCCCACCCCATAAAACTATAGTGAGAATAAATAGAATAGTATATACACAGTAATAGAACTGATATATTCATATTGAATCTAAATGAAGGTCACAGCCAAGGTGACAATGAAGGCTTTCCAAGATTTTGGCTCCAATCCTTAAGTCTATCCTAATCTTCTAGGGCTCCTCAATATGAATGCCCTATTCCTATCAAACTAGACTTCTAAACAACTACCACACATTGTTTCTGGCTTCTCTTGCTTTTGGAAGCTTCTCTCCAACTCTGTATTTAGTAATCCTATTCATCTTTCAAGATTTGGTTTAAAACTCATCTTCTCCATGATATTTATTCTGAACATTAACTTTTTAAACAATTCATGAGCTCCTTAATTATTCACTTTTTAAAACAGTATAGCTGTTTGAGTATATCTTATTTCCTCTGGTACAGAGAATACATCTCTGGCAATATATTAAGACTTATATAACCTTGTTATATATCTGTACAGTGCCTCTCACAGGGTCTGAAGTAAGACAAAAGTCTCAAACTATTTTTTTTCTATCTGCAGATATCCATAAAGAATAATTTGGGGACCTTGATTCAAATCCAATACAGGTTGAAAAAAAATGTCCTCAGAATGGGGTATAACATTCAAGATAATACAAGTAGTTTCGTATTAGAGCTGGAAGCAGAATTCAAGTTTCCAGGGACAGAGATGTAAAGCTGTCCTCAATATCAATTCTTCTCCATAGCCATAGAAACACAAATTTTGAAAAGAGACATGGCCACTCAAGTATAAGGATTTCTTATACTTAAATGTGGATATCAGTTCTGTTAAGTTATAGTACCATACAACTACTTTTTTTCTCTCCCCCACTTCCTTCCTCCTAATGCCTAGAACCTGGATGCCATGATAGAATTCCACATTGGATAATGAGAATGAGAGCTAAATCCCAGAGACAGCAGAGCAGAAAGCTGAAAGAACCTGATTTTCYGAGGCTTTCAAGGAGCAGACCCTCAATATTAGCTGTGCACTGCATATATCCAGACTTTTACATTGAAAAGAAATAAATGATCTGGGTTAAGTTGCTGCTATTTTAGATAATTTGTATATTTTTAATAGAAATTTATATTATTATACCTCTTATCAACTTTCTGTTGCTTTCAGCTCTTCACACTGCCTCCAGACATAAAATTTAATTTATTCTTTCATTAATTCAATCATTCACTCAATAACCATTCAGTGTGCACATTAGAGCCATTCAGGAGGGAATTTGGGTGGAAGCAAGAGTGAACTATACAGAGTCTGTCCTTAAAAGCCATGAGTGTTGAATGAACTCATTGTCTTAAATTATATATTAATTCATATATCTGGCAAATATTAATCTCAGAATTTCTCTGATAGTCCCATCTCAAATAATGTCTCTAGTAATATATTGTTGGTTAGACTTAGTGTGTCTAATATGTTCTGTTTTCACCCTCTAAGTCTACTGTTGGCCCTTCTCCATACTTTTCTTTGCCCTAGAATGATGATCTGTATGGGTTACCTCAATAGACTTTCCTAACTTCTGGCTTCTAGTTTGGTTGGACAATAGGGACCCGTAGGAGGAGATCAGAGAGAGGTGAGAAAAGAAAGACTATGAACATTGAAGTGGCATAATATTTTGGTCAATGACAGACCACATTTATGCTGGTGTTCCCAAAAGATTATATCACTTAGTTATGTCACAGTCATCTTGGTTTGTGTAAATAGACTTTATGATGTTCACATGATAATGGAATCACCTAAGAATGCATTTCTCAAAACATTTCCTCTTGGTCAAGCAATGCATGATTTTGTTTATCTTTCTCAGCTTCCTCCCTATGTGACCATGTCAGGTTAACTGTATTTTTTAACAAAGGTTACTGTTCCTCCCAAGGAGGCCTACTAAAGTGACTCTGTACAATTGGGTTCTGGTAATCATTTCCCCCTTTCGTACTTTTTGACCTGTTATTAGCCATAGGAAACTTCACTGTGTCTTCTGATTTTCCTATAAACTGCCTACACATTGCAAATAGACCACTTATTAAAACTTCCTCAAATTATCCTAATTTGAGGTTACCATCTGTTTCCTGCTATACCATGTGTCCCAATTTTTAGTTCAAAACATGTAAGTACCAAATACAAATGGTATTTACCAGAAGACTTGTTGGGAAGAAGGTTGGAGTAGAGTGAAGATATTTAGCAAAATCTTAGTGTATAGAGAACTCTAGAATAGAAGAATATTATCATGATCAAATTTGACTTGTGAGTACCTAAGCCACAAACATGCCTTCTTCACTTAAGTGTCTTGAGTATCCTGGACTTATTTAGAAACAGGATTCACTTCTAGATGGAACCCAGTTACTAGGAAAAGACTATCTCCTCCACCAACATATATCAAAATCCGTAGTATAGTATCTTCTGCCTATTCCATCACTATCTTTATTTAGAACCTTTAAAGACTGGTCCATATGTCATTTGAGGAGCCCATTACACACTTTTTAGAGATTGATATTTAAAACCAAATTATCACCTACTTATTCTTTATTAGCAACAAAAGTATTACTGAAAACAAAGAGCAGAACCTATTAAATCAAAGAAAGGAACAATTTCAGATTCTAGTCTGAGCAGGAAAGAGGGAAAAATACAAGAAGATGTGTCAGGCAAACTGATGCATACCCACCCCTACAAGGTGTCTGCGTCCCAATTCCCAGATCCTGTGAATATGTTATTTGACATAATAAAAGGTACTTTACAGATGTGATTAAATTAAAGATCCTGAAATGAGATTATCCTGGATTTTTGTGAACCCAGTACGATCATAAGAATTCTTTTAAGTAAAAGAGGGAGGCAGAGACATCTTTCTCATATCTTATTCTGTTACTTCCTGATATAGCAATGAAAAAAAAAAAACCTAATGAAATAATAATAACTACATATAATTATAATAAAACTAATTAAATAGTATTTTAAACCATTAGTTATATTAATTATTATATCTGTAGCTATTAGGTAATAATTATTAGATTATGAATATGTAACTATATTGTTACTTAATATATTTAAATTATTAAAACTTTCACAACATACTATCTACAATGTACTATTCATTATTTGAATTCTTTAAAAACCCATTGCTAAGTCCCAACTCCAAGGTTGCCTGTTTCTAAAATAGGTATCCCAAACCTGGCACTGGCCTTACCACGCTCTGGCCCAGCTGCTCCCGAAAGAAGTAATCCATGTTTCTTTTTTGCAGGCTATCGAGGTAATGCTGGAAGCGCGTGTATGTATATGGGTAGCAGTAAGCAAACTGGTAAATATCTTCTTCTCGGTCAAAACAGAATGCGAAGGACATCACATAATTCTTTTTATGGTCTGGACATCGATAGTAATAAACATTTTTAGGTGGCAGCCTTTGCCTAAAAAAATACAAAGAAAGAAAGTTGGGCATATCAAATAGTAGTTCAAGCTTCAAAAGGTAACAAATAGGAATAAATGTCTAGGAGAAAAACTAACAACAAAAATCCCAGGCAGTGGGAGTATGAAAATAACATAACACAGAGTCAAAACCAGAGCTGAATGTGTTAGTACTGTGATTCTACATGGGCAGCCCCAGGCCATCTCAGCTCACACATTTTGTAGAACTCTTGCTTTATTTTAATTGCTCTGTAAGTCTTAGATAGGTTTGGAAGTTCCTTATAGACAGAGATGCTTCTGAGAAATGCTGGCACTGTGAGTGAAGGATTAAGACTCACCTGCCGGGGCTTGGCGTTTCATTGAGAAGACAAGGGGATAGAAGCACATGAAGGAAGGTGTGAGGGGGAAAGTATAGAGATAAGATCAAGAATAACAAGAATGGTTCTGCTTCCAGATATAGCAGCCTGGAGAAATGTGCTAAGTAATAGATATAAAAAAATTATAACATGCTAATGATTTTACAGAATCTTTTATCTTTCTAAGGCTGCTTAAATGGCCAGGTAGGAAGTCAGGTCATGGGATTTCTGTGGAAGAACAGAGATTACATAGCATGGAAATTTGTCCACATATTTTATTATATTAGATTTAAATATTTTAATATTTTATTATTAGAAAAAAGGGGATGAAGAGGTAGACCATCAGTGTAAGATGAGCAAGAACCTGACAGTGTCAAGGAAGAAGATGGGATGGTAGATACCCAGCAAAAGTTTAAAAAAGAAATAGGGCTTTTCCTATAAACCTCAGTGGTAGTGCCAAAAGTTGTCTAGGAGTATACTTAGGCCCACCAATATAGTTCATTTAGCCCTTATCCATTCCCAAGCCACTGCAAATAAACATATAAATAACAATCTCCTTATAAAGCCAACATAGTTTTAATAGAAATCCCCAAGGCACTCCTCCTAACCAGATTGCTACCCCAAATCTTCCTACTTTGAAATTCAAGAGCTACCAATGATGAAATAGAGAAACAGTGACCAGAAGAGTATTTACGGAGTGAGAAGAAGTCATTTCCTCCTGATTCTTTAAATGTGGGGTACTTCCCAAGCAGGCAATAGAGAAGTAACATCCTTCAAGAAAGTCAGGCCTGCTGGGAGCAGTGGTGCACACCTATAATTCCAATGGCTTGGGAGGCTGAGGCATGAGTTCAAAGCCAGCCTCAGCAAAAGCTAGGTGCTAAGCTAGGGCTGGAGTGTGGCTCAGTGGTCAAGTGCCCTTGAGTTCAACCCCTGGTACCTGCCACCGAGAGAGAGAGAGAGAGAGAGAGAGAGAGAGAGAGAGAGAGAGAGAGAATGAGAATGTCAGGCCTTACCTGGTTTATTCAGCACACCTTTAACTATTGTACACCAAACACAGTGTGGTTAAGACAAAGGATAAAGGAAGTGGTGAACTAAAAGAGATTATTACCCATGGAGCTGTATTCCAGAGGACAAAGTGAAAAGCAGAAAGTTTGGGAGAGGAAAGAAAGTAGTGAAAAGTGAAAAGTAGAGAGAGAACAACTGACCAGTGCAGAGAAAAGAAAACAGAGAATATACAATGCTCTACATTTGCATTGTGGCTAAAGATTCAAGAAAGTGAGGCTGGCAGAAAAGTCTCATCTAAGGGGTTCAGATTTGTATTTATGAAAATTCCAATGAAAGTGGCCTTGAGGTCTCCAGTCATGTCTATGATAGTCACTTCAGCCCCTGACACAGATATCTTAGTCCAAGTCTCCTGGAGCCCAACGTGAGCATGTTTTCCTATACAGGTAGTTTCAACAATCATTAAGTCTCTCAGGTTATGACACTGTATTCAACTCTTAATTTACCAGAACATCCAATCAGGATCCATGCTTTAAATTCAATCATCCTAGTTTTCTCCTCTTMTAGCCAAATTTAGCAACTGGACTAATCCTGCCGTCTCCACTGAATTTGATTGTGTACTATCAGGAAAATTTATCTACTGCTTGCAGCTGTCCCAGCTCCTCTCCTGGGTGAGTTGGAATGCCTAACCTGATTAGCAGACAGGGTAGAGGTATTGGGCCCTGGGGTAATCACTCAGGGAAGCTGAGAAGCTGCTCAGGGCTTAAATTTTCCAGACTCTGCCAATGGTACAAACAGAAATTCATTTGAGAAGGGCTCAGCAGGCCAAATTCATCAAGACTTTCAAGTAATGCAAGGAAAAAAAAAAAAAAGGAAAACGGAGGGTTGGGATTATAGAGGACAAACTTCTCTTATTTAGACTGCACTTCTGGTTTTTATCTTCTTTTTCTTATTATATTTTCATTATGTCTCGGGCATTGTGTTAAGTGTTTTATATCCCTTATCATTTAATCCTCATGATAACCTTATGAGCTGGGGGTTATTAATATCCACTTCATGCGTACAAGAAAATCAAAACTCAGAAAAGTAAAAATTTCCCTGAGATTACAAGGTTAGTGAGCAGCAGAGCCTAGGCAAGGGTGCCTCAAAAGTCTATGTTCACAATCCCTATGGTATTCTGCCACCATCTTTTTCCTTTTGCCACTTAACTCAGAGTCTTACCTCTACTTCTGAAAAATCTAGTCTTTCACTGAAAACCCTTCAAACAATTCTATTTCTTCTCATTTAAGTTTGGCCCAGAAAACTCCCTCTGATCTCCCTGTGATTCAGGCATTAACACCCATCTCTCTCTTCTTGACCCCTGTGCTTTATTCATATTGATCTATTCACAACTCCCTACCACAACCGTGGGCTGTGTCTCCATATCTTTATGCTTGATCTTTCTTCCATTGGGATTGCCTCCCCCACAATTTTGCCTGTTTGGTGAATTCCTACCATAGGTGCAACTTATGGTCAATTCATATATTTTAAAAATGAACGTATTTGTATGTTTTAAAATATTTTGTATTTTACAAATGAACTAATTAATCAATAAATAATATATAAACACCTATCATTTAACATACTTCCTCTCTAAAGCTTTCCTTGACTCTCCAGTCTTCATTAATTGTTTTGTACTTTGAAAAATGATATAAGAAAAGAATTTTGTCACTTGGTGGGTCTCTTAAAATGAGCTACAAAATTAAACAGCTATTTGGATATTTTTTTCAGGGAATATAGGCTTCTTGACAGTAGGAACTGTATCTTTCCTGTCTTTCTTGTGATGGCACAGAGAGTTCTCCAACAATACTTGTTTATTTTTAAAAAAAAAGCAATGAAGAGATGAAAATAAGAGTCATTTTGAGCTCAGTATAAGTAGGGGCACTTCAATATTCTGCTGAAGAGAAAGTAGAGGGGCTAGCCTTATGGGAGAATAGGGCATGAGAAGCTTTAAGGGATTTCATAATGAAAATTCCTGTACTTGATGTTAGGCTAGTCAAGGCAACTTCTGMTTCCACTTAACAAAGAGAGTTTGAGATAACCCAATGAAAAATTATAACAATAGTGATAATAATTATTATAGTACTACTACCTATATGTGTTCTAGACCATTCTAAGCACTTTTTAATGCACTAACTTTTTTTACTTCTCACAAAAATCCTGCAAAAGTGTTCATATTATCCCAACAATATGTTGAAAGTGAAGGTAGAGTCACTTTCTTAAGAGAAGAAGGTGTCTGTGGCTCCAGAAGACCTTAAAAAAATTTCTAACATCTGCCTGAGACCCAGAAAGATTCCAAGCCCTGGTATATGTGTTCAGGACTCAGAATAAAGGCTGGTCTATCTCTTGGAACAGTCTGTCTCTTGGGTCCATCCTGATAATGGAAGAGGATATCCACTTGTGTGAGGGGAAGGGTCTATAACTCTCATTCTCAGATTCACTTATGTGTGTGTGTGCACACATTCATATATATGTGTCTGTACTCGGCATGTTTGCAAACATACTGTCTGTACTTCTATATCCCATTGTATCAATCCTTATGTATGCTTCTTTCCATTGTTAGAATGAACTCTCCTTGGGAGCTGGGATTATACAGTGTTCATCTTTGGTACTCCAGGACCTATACAGAGCCCTGCATAGAACATCAAAAATGTTAATGAACTGGAAAAATGAATGTATTGGTGGGAAAACAATTTCAGCCCACTAATATATGTAGAGGGTTTTCTCTCTCCATGTGAAACATTGAATCATGCCCTAAATATATGATATTCTCAACCCCCACCTGGCTTTTTAAAATGTGTTTTTTGTTTGTTTTGTTTTGTCTATAATTGCCTTTACCATACTTTTCTACATAGTGTAGCCCTATATAGAGAAGCAAGGTCCAGCTCAAATAATATTTCTTCTTCACTATCTTTCTCAGCAACTCCAGGATAAACTAGTGACTACAAAAATACTAATTTAGACACTGCTATATTTTTTATTCATCTCAAAATCCACAGTACTTAGTATAGTGCTTGACCCTAAAATAAAGCCCAACAAATGCTTATTGAATGAAAGAGTCAATTTATGATTTAAAAAAYGAATGAATAATTCCTCTCCCACTTACCATCCTCTTTGCCTTCTCCCCAAAATCATCAACTGAATTCTCAAAGCATCGTTTTAGCCACTAGAACACAGGAAGAAGAGAAGCCCAGGACCTAATGGAGTTTAGAAGTATCTCTAAAACAACATTCTTTAGTTCCCCTCAGGATCCCTGGAATATAGAAGTTCTAATTTCCTCTCTAACCACACAGAAAACATAGATGCAAATAAATAAATTCTAACTCCAGGGTCTTCCTTGACAGCAAAAACAAATTTTCTCTTCAAATTAGTGGAAAGTGAAATAGCAAAGAACCAGTCTTTTCGGGTTGTAAATCCTAAAGGAGATATGCAAAACAAGGGTATCATGAAGTCACTCAGATACTCCCAAAGGAAGCAACATGTATTAAGTGCCTCTGGTATGTCAATAGTGTGCTTCCTGTTTGATGTACACTACCATCTAACTAGTAAGTACACATTCTTTCCATCACACTGAGACTGGGCTACCTAAAATTCATGCAACAGTT